GAGGGTCAGAGTAGAAGAGGAAGACCCCCAGTGAGGTGGATTGGCCAAGTGGTCTCATGGATGGGCTCAAACGTGGCAACAATAGTGAGGTTGGCCCAGGATCGGGCAGTGTTTCGTTCTGTTGTGCATAAGGTCACTATGAGTCAATACCAACTTGATGGCACCTAACAACAGCAACAACTAATCAGAAGATTGGGGGTTCAAACCCACCAACCTCTCCTCAGAAAGCCTATACAGGGTTGCTGTGAGTCAGAACCGACTTTCAAACACTTAACACCAGTAGGCAGATGGTTATTGTTTCTAGAAGGATGCAGATGGCTAGTTAGAGGGAGTCCCTGTATGCTGTGAATGGGTTACACCTACAACTAGTAGCTGAAAGGTTACTGGGTTGTATCAACTCAGACGTGCCTCAGAAGCCAGGCCTGCCAACCTGCTGCCTAAAGCTGACAGCCTTGGAAACTCTGTGGAACCGTTTTCCCATAAGTCACCACAGTGGCAATGAACAACAATGTTGGACTACCTGGGTGATCCAGAAGGTAAAGAAAGAACACGGCCCTTGAAGAAAACCCTATGGAGGGCAGTTCTACTCTGACACCCATGGCGGTCATCATACATCACTATCAGCTTGACCAAAACTGGTTTGGGGTTTGTTTTGAGATTCAGTGGTGTTTTGCTTTTTTCTTCTAATTAGTAAATTATGGAAACCTGTTGTGGTTGCCGGTGAGTCAGTTCCAACCCTAGCGACCCTGTGTAGGGTTTGCAAGGAGCAGTTGGTGAGTTTGAACCACCGACATTGGACTTCAAACAGACCTTGTGGTCAAGGATTTATCCTGCAGCGCTACAGCAGGACTCATTTAGATAGTCAAAACATTCGTTTCAAATGCAGACTTTACTCTAGGCAGATTAAAATTAGTAAAACTGCTGTGTATTGTTTTCAAGTTTGCCTTAAAATGCAGGAAAATCAAATATCATGTAGAAGATTACGTTGTTGTTAAGTGCCTTCAAGTGAATTCTGACTAATTGAGATCCTGTAAGGGGTTTCTGAGGAGGAGCAGCTGGGGGGTTTCAACTGCTGACCTTTCAGTTAGCTTCAGTGCTTACCACACTACATCCCCTCTTAGAGTGCCTTTGTGGTGGTTGTTAAGTGCCATCCAGAGGGTTCCAACTGATAGCAACCCTGTTTAAATGACAAAAGGATTAAAGTAGGAAACTTACCCAAAGGTGACTTGTTCTGTGCCTAGTTGTTTATTTGATAGCAACAAGAACTGATTATATACATTCCATTTTGTTAAATTAACCATTAAATTGCTGCAATTTCCAAAGGGTCATTTGTAGGAGAACATGTGATTGCTGCGCACCAGTTAGAAATGACAAGAAGCCTTGGTGGTGTATTGGGTTATATACAGTCCCACCGGGGGAGGAAGATGAACCAGTCTGCTGCTGTGAAGGTTTACAACCTTGGAAACCCTAGGAAACAGTTCTGTTCTGCCCTATAGGGTCTCTCTGCGTTGGAATCATAGCAATGTGTTGGGTTGTTGTTGTTTTTAAGTGTCATTGAGTAGTTCCAACATACCGGCTGGAATCTCTGACCTTGCAGTTTGTAGTTCAGTATTTTCTAGATTAGAAATGAAATATAAGAATGTGTGAACCCAAAAATGTATTTACCGGGACTCATTGTACAACTTTGCTAGCACATTGGGGTTTTTATGAGCTGGGTTGCTAACCACAAGGTCAGCAGTTCGTATCTGCCAACCGCTGCACTGGAGATAAATGAGGCTTTCTGCTCAAGGAACTCTGGTAGTGTAGTGATTACGAATTGGGCTGAGAACTGCAAGGTCAGCAGTTCGAAACTACCAGCTGCTCTGTGGGAGAAAGATGAGGCTTTCTGCTCCCGTGAAGATTTACAGCCTTGGAAACCCTGTTCAGGGTGGCTATGGGTCAGAACCAACTTGACGGCACATAACAACAACACCAAAGAGAAACCCCACACAGCGTCCTATGAGTTGGAACCAATTTGATGGCACACCATCATTGTACAAGTCTAGGCAAATCACCTTGGTGACCCCATGTATATCAGAATAAAGCTGTGCTACATGGGTATGTGATTTTTCAGAAGTGACCATAAGGCCTTTCTTCTGAAGTGCTTCTGGGTGGACTTGAACCTCTATCTTTGTGGGTGACAGTTGAGAGAGTTAACCATTTAGACCACCCAGGGAACTCCTCTGTGTATATACATCCTTCATATGATGACCCGATGTGGTCATCCTCCATTTTCATATAACACCAATTTCATATAACAGTCTGGTCTTCAGAACCGAACCATGTCTATTAGTGAGGTGTAGGTATAATTGTTATTAAATCAGATGTTCTTTCAGTTATCAAATGTGAGTGATTTTAGTTGTGAAAATGTGTGTATCAGTGAGGATGAAGTTCAAGTGTGTATACCAGAGGAGAATTTCAAGAGCAAAGGTTTATTTTTTACTTCTGAAACCGTGTCTAGTATGAGTCAGCTCCTGGGATATTCACTCTGGGGCCAGGCGAGTGGAGCAGGCTCTCAAGTCTTAGGAAGAAAAAAACGATACAAGAACATGAGTTTGCTGTTCAGCTTTTCCTGTGAATTAAAGCCTGCCACTTCTGGTGTAGCTCTGCGGGTTAATGCACCAGACTGCAAAGCCGTTTGAACTGCAAGGTTGGCAGTTCAAGCTCACCAGCTGCCCCTTGGAAACGCTATCCAGGGTTGCTATGGGTCAGAACCGACTCGACAGCACTTAACAACAACAACTTCTCCTTATATTTCATTAGCTAAAGCAAGGTCTCTGGCCACTTCTGAAGGTCCTGAGGGGTACAAATGGCGTGTGCCCAACTACTAACCTAAAGCTGGTAGTTCAGCACCTCACCCCTCACCCCAGTGGCATCCTAGAAGACAGAAAGACCTGTTTCCATCAAAATGTAAGCCAGGGATGCCCTAATTTTGGCATAATTCCACTCATGACATGGAAATGTCATGATTCAGAATCAGTTCCATGGCTGTGCGTTGTTTTGTTTTGTTTTTTAGTTTTTGTTTGTTTTATTTTGTGTTTTGTGGTCACTTTTATTTTTAGTACTTTGGATAGTGAATAATTATGAGTAAAAACACAGTCTACCATTGAGAGTAAATAATGTTTTGTAAGCTGTGTTGTTAAGTGCCATCAAGCCAGTTCTGACATGTAGCATCCCTGTATAGGGTTTCCAAGGTTGTAAAATTGTTCCAGGATTAGAAACTGAGAAGCGGCTGGTGGACTTGAACAGCAGACTGTGTGGTTCACTGTCCACTGCTTGTCCTTCAGAGCTACTGGGATCCACTTTCCTATGCTAGCTGAATGTTAACAATACTACTCTCCCTACAGACAAGAAGAGCGTTTTCTAAGTGATCATTAATATTTCGACTTCTATGGTAATATTAGGCTCTTTTTTTTTTTTTTTTTTTTTCTTATAGAGACTTAAGTAACAACCGAATAAGCACCCTGTCAAATCAGAGCTTCAGCAATATGACTCAGCTCCTTACCTTGTGAGTGTGAAACCATGGGACTTGGGGTTGATGACTCATTAATTGGATGAAATGTTTGGTTTTTTGTTCCCAAGATATGGACATTTCGAGTTACCAAGACATATAAAGGCTCTGCCCTCATGGAAAATAAGCTTTGTGGGGAGAAATAGATAAATAAAGTTCTAACAAACACGTACATTCAGATATTACAATTTATGATGGGTTCTATAAAATCGGCTAAATAATCATTTATGTGTGTGGAGGGCTTAGAGGAAATCCGCAGCAACCCAACGTAGGGAAGCATTCTAGAGCACACTTAGGAACTGAATGAGACAACAGAAAGGTAAGAAAATATGAATTATGCATCTATATTCTCCATTTATAGGCTGCCAAAAAAGACTCTTCTCATAGGTGTTTTGTGTTAAAAATAACATTCAGCTATTTTTGGATATCTGAGAAAATCAAATGGGTTTGTGTGTACTTTCAGAATTCTCAGCTACAACCGTCTCAGATGTATCCCTTCCCGAACTTTCGATGGGTTGAAGGCTCTTCGATTACTGTAAGCACCTTACATTAAATAATATGGCTCTTCCCTTCCCAGAGCTCTGAAGTTTGTGTTTTGAAACATCTAACTGCCTTGTTAATCTGTGGACATTTTAGGATCTATGCATTAGAGATTAACTGTAAATTTGGAACTGAGAAAATCATACTTTACTGTATACCTTTGTTCAGTAAGCTTATTTGGAAAACTTAACTTTCACTTTAATAAAACTTTTTATAGTATAGAACATTACGTTCTATGTTATTCATAGCTCCAACTTACTTCAAAGGAAATGTAGGGGGAAAACATTTTTAACTACATAAAATATGAATGCATTCTTTTTTTATTATAAAAGATAGCTTTTAAAAGTACAACTTCAAATCTGAAATAGTCAGTCTTGCTCCCTTCCTCCCTGGAGCTAGCTAGTTAGCAGTTTGATATGTTCTCATTTTTTAAAATTTGTATTTATATATTGACATACGTATGTACGTTGCCAAATGACTTTTAAAAACTCTAACAGTATCAAGGATTGTTCTACTACTGGCCATTTGTACTTCTCAGTATGCTTTTGAATCTTCCTATGCTATTGCATACAGATATTTTCCTCAGTCTTTGTACTGGTGTATTCCATAGGGTGGAGGAACTACAACTTATTTAAACCTTTCGGTCTGTCTGTGTTGTCTTATGTGCCATCTAATTGTTCATTATTCTATATAATGCTATAATGAACCCCTTTTACATTGTGCAAACATTTCCCCAGTGTTTTCAGGTGGGGAGATGTCATTAAGTATATTAGAGGGAAACCCAAAGTCATTATCAAGTTGTTGACCAAACAAGATTTTGTCAATTTACAAATGTACTTAGTTGTTATTGTTGTTGTGTGCAGTTGATTCCAACTCCTAGCAATTGCATAGGCTGAAATTGAAGCGCTCCATAGAGTTTCCTAGCCTATAATCTTTAGGGGAGCAGATCTTTCTTCTGTGGAGATACTGGATGGGGTTCAAACCACCAGCCTTCCAATTAGCCAGCCAAGTGTTTCACCCATAAACCAGCAGAGTACTTAGCTACTTTAAAAAGTATGTTTTCTCAAGCACTCTTGCAAATGCTAAATAGTATTAATTCTTTCATTTGTGTCCATATGATAGAAAATTATTTTTTCTTCCATTCCTCTTGTAATTTGATTACCAATCACTAGAGCATTTGGGAGTCCTGGTATGGTGCTGTGGGCTAACATGCTGGGCTGCAAAGTCAGTTTGAACCACAAGGGTTGGCTGTTCTAGCTCACCAGCTGTTCCTTGGAAACCCTATACAGGGTCGCTATGGGTTGGGACCAACTCAACGGCACTTAACAACAACAACAAGAGCATTTAAGTACATTTTGTTTATGAAGTGTTCATGCTGCTTTTTCGACGAGTTGTCTGTATAATTTTCTCATTTTTCTTTTGGTCTTTTCCCCTATTAAGCCAATAGAGTAATGAATCCTTTGATAAATATACTGCAGTCATGTCCTATTCTGTGCCTTTTATATCATGGACTCTGTGTTATATGGTTATATTTTATATTGTCAACATTTATCAGTCTCTTCCTTTTTGCTTATTGATTTAACAATATTCTTTTCAATGTCTTTCTCATTTCCTGTTTTAAAAAAGCACACTGTATTTTCTTTTAATACGTGTTTAGTTTTAGTTTTAAGTTTAGTTCTTATTAATGTGGCATGTATTTATGTGTATGCTGTGGAAAAGGATCTAACCTGTTGTTTTCCCAAATAGATATCCAACTGTACCAAACTCATTCATTAAGAACACCATGTTTTCTGCACTAATTTCAAAGATGATCATAAACTAAAGTTTCGTGGATGTAGGGGAATTGTCATGGGCTCTCTGAAGAATATGAAATTAACTTTTTAATTTTCTTCCTTTTAGTTCTTTACATGGAAATGATATTTCTGCCGTGCCTGAAGGCGCTTTTCATGACCTTTCTTCACTTTCTCACCTGTGAGTAAACGAGTTCAAAAATCTGGGCTCCCGGGTCACACTGTTCCTGGAAAGTGGGTTTAGAACGATCCTCTTAGACTCCTTTTATTGTAACATCCTAACAAGGAGCTCTGGTAGCGTAATGGTTATGAATCAGGCTGTGAGGTGCAAGGTCAGCTGTTCGAAACTACCAGCTGTTCCATGGAAGAAAGATGAGGCTTTCTGCTCCCGTAAAGATTTACAGCCTCGGAAACCCTGTACAGGGTCACTATGAGTCCGAACCAGCTCCATGGCACATAATAACAACAACAGCATGCAATTGTGTGCTTCTTTAAAGACACTATTCAGATTTCAACCTTGAATAATTGGGACCTACAAAATACAACTTTGCTTTGCCTTTTTGTCTTTTGCCTCCATTAGTTGAGTTATTTTTGCTTAGTTAT